TATGTTACAGGTCGTATGTTACAGGTCGTATGTTACAGGTCGTATGTTACAGGTCATATGTTACGGTTCATATGTTACAGTATATCTAAAATGAACATTTTACATATAACATATGTTAGCATCACTGCCACTGAGCTAGCCTGTGTCAAACGTTTATATTATTATAAAACATCTATTAAAGTGTCCTGACACAGAACATTACACCAGTGCAGGCTTCTTTAACACAACTCGCTAACTGACGCACACCAACACACTCACAGGCAGCCTCCCTCCTCTGAGTTATTGTCATTTAAGCCTTTAATGCTGGGAGTCACCCGCTGTGTGGGAATTCAAAGGAGAAACAGTCCATATCGACTGGTTTGTGCGAGGGGCCTGTTCTCTGTGCTCCATGGATCTCCATAGGTCACAGGATAGATTTTTCTTTTAGGTTTGGCGGCTCGGTGTGGGTGCACGAGCACAAAAGGCTCAAGAAAGCTTAAAGTTTTTGCTATTTCGTCTTTTCTGTCTTCTTTCCTTTAGTGATAGAGATCCATTGATTGGACGCGATGACAGAGAAGCTACAATATCTCCTGCTAAACGCCTTTAAAGCTGTTTTTATAGACCCGTCCTAACCTGACATGAACTTTATAATTTCATTAGTAACATGTGAGCGAACAGTGCTGTGAAGTCTTTGGTTTTTCTTCTTATTGTGGTCATTTGACAAGTTTTAATGTAAGACAGAAATATGACTTTTGCTGTGGCTTTGTTCCTCGGCTGTTCTCCAGGTTCTTTACATCCTGGCATCATGTGCTGAGTGTTTTTAGCTCCTTTCGCCTACTTAACGTCTCAGGCATGTGATTTCTCCCTTCAGCAGATCAGGTAGTAATCAGACCCAACTGCAGTGACACTGAACTCAGCTTACGTCACATTTAAACACGGGTCAGGTAGGTTGGTATAGGTACTGTGTTCCCCTAATAAATGAAAAAGCATTTTGTATTTACTCCGGTTCTCTTTGACAGATATTTGTTGTTCTGGAACATGTGACTGCAACAAATATCACAAAAACATAAGAAATCAGGAGGTGGGCAAATACTTTGTCCCACCAAAGTAAAAGCACAGTCAGTTTATCATTCAGGAACAGCTCAGCTCTTTATGCATACATGCTATAACAATATAAATCACACACACACACACACACACACACACACACACACACACACACACACACACACACACACAGCACCCGCTGGTTAGTCAAGGTCACAGTTTTGTGACGCGTCCTCTGCATCATGTTGGACGTCTGCCACGGTGTCTCATCAAACCGTTAATCTGATAAATTAAAACGGACAGTGAAGCATTTTACAAATCTGCGCCTGATTGCAGCGCGCATGAAAGACAGAATATGTAATACAGAGATACTGGCAGGGCCAATTATGATAATTAAATAGCATTTTGTATGAACAGTAATCGAGCTGACTTTGACCATAACCAGCCATCCTCAAATCCACTCGCTGGCACCAGATGCTCATAAAAACACTCTGTGGTCCAACTCATACGTTTCTTAACACACTATAAGTGTTAGGTGCGGCTGTGTGCAGACAGGAATAGGACCCAAGGTGCAGACTCCAGAGACAGAACTTAAACCAAAACAGCTTTAATGCTGAACGCAAACATCATATAACTAGAAAAACTCAAAATAAACTTACACCGGTGGATGAGCAAAACACACAGCAAAGTAAACGGTAGATCGCGACACAGACACAGAGAAACACAGGGCTTAAATACACAGAGGGAGCAATCAGGGAATGGGTAACAGGAGGGAAACACAGCTGGGACAAATCAGAACTGACGAGACCAAAGAAGCATAAACTGAACACACTGAGATAAGACACAGACCTTCAAAGTAAAACAGGAAACGCATAACACAGACTGAACAAAGACACTTTGTTGCACTACAAAGGGAACAGAGACGTGGGAACAGGGCAGACACAAAACACTGACTGAACACGGGGATATAGGAACTTAAGATACACATAGACGCGAACTAGACAAGGGGATGCAGGTGATAGGGGAGACAGAGCAACTAAAGAAGACAGAGACCTAAGCCATAAGACAGAACTCAAAGAAACCAAAAACTAGACAGTATAAATAATATCATAAACTCAAAAACCCTGGGTCGACCACCCAGGCATCCTAACAATAAGAAACGTTTAATGTTTTAATAAACAGTGTTTGTGATTATTGTCGCTGATAATCACAGGAACCTAAATATTCTGGTACTAAGGTTTTACAGACAACAATACCTGAAATGTTAGCATATATGCTAGTTTTCTCTATAAGGCTGTTGCACGCATGTATAGAGTAAGTAAATGTTCATAACTAAAGTTGGCTTCAGCCCAAAGCCACAGCCGGCCTTTTGAACTATAAACCGAGTCTTTCCTTCCCAGTGCAGCTGATTTCTGCTCCCTGGTTCAACGATTCGCCGTATCGGCTCCACGGCTGCTGCTGTAGATGAGTCTGTATAGAGGGACTGTCTGGGTGGTTCTGCCCTGCTGCTTTCAGAGGACATCTGTGCATGCTATCAGTACGTCTGCCAGCTGAAGCGTTATCCCAAAGCCACGTGTGGATGTTGTTACTGGTAACTGAAGGATTTATAACTGGATCTGCTGAAATAAGCGTAATTAAATCTGCTTTTCTTCCTCGTGCACGTTAAATCGTTCTTCAGTCTCCTGCTATCTGATTCCTCTCTCTGGGTTTCATTAATACTGAACCCGTATCTCTGATCGCTCTTTCCACTCACAGCGTTTACACATACTGTCATTTTCTTTTTTTTCGCTGTGCTGTTAACCAGATGAACACATATTTGATTATGGCTCAGACGATCACCTTGCCCCGAGCTGTTTGCGAGGTGTCATGGGCAGCCACTGACGCTAAACGAGGTGGACAGAAATCTCTTTAGGGAGAAGGGTAGAGCAAAATAGCCGGGCACATCATAGCACAGGTTTTGTAATGAGACATTACAGCTCATGTGCTCGTGAAATCGCAGCAGAGCTAACGGTGCGTGCAGCAGAGAAACTGCAAACGAGCTTTGTTGGTAGAAAAGGTGAAAACCTCTCCGCTGACTCAAACTTCAGCAGTAAATATTTTGTCCAATAGATTCTTTGTTTTCAGTTCTTGCTTGATAAGAAGGACAGTCGTGGCTTTGGCTGCATGTCTGCTTTATAATAACCAGACGTATGAGAGTCGTTGCAGGGCTGCTTGTTTCTCAGCTGCACTGCGGTGTGCTGACACATGCTGGCAACACAGCGCACAAACTGAACAAACTGTAGTGATTGAATAACTGCTTGTAGTTCTCATCCAACTGGCTCTGTTTCCACGTTGTGTCATTTCTGCCTCCTGCTGGTTTCCACCTGCTTTGAAGGATGTTCTCGGGGATTTGACTTCCTCTGGTGAGCGTACCTGTTTCCTAGACAAGCCGCAAGGAAACAGTAATGTTGTACCCGATCGTTATACCAACTGTTAACTAACTAGCTCACACAGGAGAAGTGCTTTCTAAGAAAAACTGCTAAAAATAATAATAATGGGCTCGACAGGGTTATTTCTGACAGCATGAAGACGCTGAACGGCGTCTTTTTGTGATGCATCGCCGGCACCACACACTGATAAAAACACTGTTTCTGAATGTTGTTTCCCTGTGAACCTGGGTGCTCCAAGGTGAGAGAGGTACAGTTTGTCAGCAGCCAGCAGAGATTACAGTGCACGTCTTCGTTCACATCCAGTCGTCCCGTATAACTGGATCTGACGTTGCTCCATCTGCCTGTGCTGTGGTGATGTTCTGTCGTTCAGCTGCTGTGCAGCCACGTTTCCTTTAGATACGTTTTCAAGTAAACAACAAAACAACAGTTTCACACTGCACACACCACCACCAGGAACAGAGGCTACTGTCAGCCTGAAGCCCTTTATTCTGTGTTGCACCTCAGACTGTGCAGCAGCGCAGCAGTTAAACCTGGACGTGTGCTGTTGTTGTGTCTGTAAATAAACTTGATGTTTTGGCTCATCATCATATCTGCTCCATGCTTATGTACTGATTGGATGTCCTGTCTGCCTGCACTCACTGCACACCCACAGAAACTCGGTGCTCTTCCTTGACTCTGTGGTGTCACCAGACTGGGCCGACCTGGGGTGGACTGCTACTGTCAGCATGAGAGCGGAGCTGCTGTTCTTCAGCTGCAGTTTCTCATCAATGAGGTAAGCCACAATCTTTGAGGCTTTTTAGTTCTTTTTATAATATTTGGAAACCCGGAGCTGTGCTAATAACAAGTTATAACTTTGTAGCTATAATGATGATTATGAAACGTTTTTAGTTCTTCAGTAGAACTAACAATGAAGCGATGACGGTGGTGATAACAATCACCTTTAACTACCCCAGAGATTGTTAGCATGCTAGCTAGGTTGGGTTTCCTTTATTATGGGATTCATTGATAATGAAATAAAGTCACAATAAGAGTGTAAAGCTCCGGTCTCATCAGTCACCACCAGTGTTGGTCAAGTTACTTGAAAAAAGTAATCAGTAACTAATTACTGATTACTTCCCCCCAAAAAAGTAATCCCGTTACTTTACTGATTACTTATTTTCAAAAGTAATTAATTACTTAGTTACTTAGTTACTTACACCCTGAAGAGGTGATAAAGTGATAGATCTTTCAGCCCAATTCTACTTTTTCTGCATAATCCATCATACAAAATGTAATCAAATGGAAAAGTCTCTTTTTAAAACTTGTTTTATTAGTTTTAATCTTTTAACTTTATGCATCAAGCAAACATTTAATTATCTGCAACATTCACTGACTGGAAGAAATTAGTCTAACATTTAAACCTATTTTCTGCACATTCCAGCTCATAAAATAAAATATTTTTTGTGTTTACACTCAGTCTTTCAAATAGATGCAAGTAAAACACAGCAGAAAATAAATAAAGTCAAAGACTCAGCGGTCCTGTTGCTCTATTTTCACCTGTAAAGCAGGAGTGGGGTAGGCGGAGGGTTACCCTGGTGCAGGTGTGCCGCGGTCAGTGGAAGAATCCGCGAGTTTCTCTGTGAGTTTCCCATTACGTCGTAGCTACTCGGTGCTTGTTGGAAGTTTAGGGGTTTTTTCGCTGTAAAAAGAAGTTTTCTTCCCACGCACAGCGGACACTAATGTTTTTGTCACTTTTTATGGAATCAAACTCAAAGTAAGGTCAGTACTTCCACGCTTTAAACGCTGCACGCTCATACTCTCTCTGCACTCGATATGTGATCCATTGTTGATCTGCACACAGCTGTTGTCACGAACGTCGCACTCGCTTACGTCACTGTCATGAGACATTCTCGGCAAAAAAATCACGGTTTTAGTAACGCAGTAACGCAGCGTTCCTACGGGAAAGTAACGGTAATCTAATTACCGTTTTTGCAATAGTAATCCCTTACTTTACTCGTTACTTGAAAAAAGTAATGGGATTACAGTAACGCGCTACTGCCCATCTCTCGTCACCACACTGTGTGTTTTGTCACACAGTGTTTGGTTGACTGGACCTTTATAAGGGCCACACACGCTCCACTGTTCACGGAGCATCTGATGCAGGCAGGATTTCTGGAAAGCTTTGTGTCAGCAGAAGACTTCAACACTGCAGTGTATGATGATCTTTTACAATGGAAGCTTTAATACCATATAATAACCAGTCATATTATACTTTATGCATAGTGTGCATTTCACGATTGTGTAAATGAAGATTTAGTTGAATTCATTTGCAGTCTGATGGTCGTGACATTTATAAGTAAACATGATTAACTCTCAATTAACTGATCTTTGAGTGGCAGCAGCCAAAACACTGCACATGTCACCGTTTTAAATGAAGGATCATTGTGAGCAGTGCTTAGTTACACCGATGTGGTTTTTATTCTCTCCTCTTCTTTTCCACCCTGACAAACTGTGGTGTGGGCTTACACGTGACAGTGCTGTGTCATACTGTTCATTTTAGGACTTTAACAGCAGTTTATTGCTGTACTTTCTAACAAAATACTGACGCTGTACCGGGGGAAGAGGATTTCACGATGGTTACAAGAGCAGAAGGGTGACACAGGTCTCAAACGTAAAGCCGTCTCTCATCGATCTTCTGCTTTATTCTGCTGTAATCTCTTTTCCTCTCGGCTCCTCTCGTCTTTTTCTTTCCTCTGTGTTTTTCTTTTTAAGCCCACTGGCTGTTTCAGCCCACTTCTCCATCACTCACTGGCCTACCTGTGATGTGTCTGAGGCAAATGGAGGTGGATGAGCCTGAAGAGGGTTATGTGTGTTTCTGTGTTACAGGTATAGACAGGTAGTGTGTGTGTGTGTGTGTGTGTGTGTGTGTGTGTGTGTGTGTGTGTGTGTGTGTTTGTGTCCAAATGTGTTTGTAATAGTGTAAGAGTGTAGCTGAGAGCACGTTACAGCAGTGTGTGGGTTCAAGTGTATCTTGTCATATTAGTGGATTTTTAAAAGCGTGAA